CATCCATCCATGCATGCATCCATCCATCCATCCATGCATCCATCCATGCATCCATCCATGCATCCATCCATCCATCCATGCATGCATCCATCCATCCATCCATGCATGCATCCATCCATCCATCCATGCATCCATCCATGCATCCATCCATCCATCCATGCATGCATCCATCCATCCATCCATGCATCCATCCATCCATCCATCCATCCATCCATCCATGCACCCATCCATGCATCCATCCATGCATCCATCCATGCATCCATCCATGCATCCATCCCTTTAACACATATGTCTTAACCTACTACGAACCAGGAACTAAGCTAAGGGTACAAAGACACCTAAAACATCGTCCTGTCCTTGAGCTCACAGTCCCTAGAATCTAGTGGATCACAGGTCTTAATTTATAAGCCATGCAATCATGAGGACATTTGTGGAGAGCGGATTTGGGATCTTCCTGATTGGGGCAGAAGGCTGTAGCCCTGTCTAAGGCTTTAACAGAACCCTGTCTGTTCACAGGGTTGCCCAGGTAGGCACCACATAGATTCCCATGGCATAGAACCTTATTTTGTCCTTGGTGAGCATGAAGTTGCTGTCTAACAAATAAGCTTTATAACAATGGCCAAAGCTCATTTGTGTGCGTCTGTGGAGCAGCCGAGGGAGAGGTGTGGCTGCGCTTCTGATTACGCTGGGGTGCAGTCCACTCCTGGCTCCTCTGGCTGCCGCTCTAATCTGGCTGTTAATGGGGCCCAGGGGAGAGCTGGGCCAGGGCAAGGGCGGACACTTTCCTCCTCCATTGCCCAGAGTGTTCTGGAATCCACGCCAGCCCTCAACTGTCGAAGGCTTTCACCAATTAGCCTTTCCTTCCAGGGCGCACACGGCTCTGGCATCTGCTCCTTCCATCTCAGCCCCCCCCACCCCCCGGTCTGTGGTCCCTATGGGGTCCCCCCCACCCTGGTGCTCTAATTGCCCTCGGGCTACAGCTCAGACCCGGCATGGCGGTGTCCTTAGGGAGCCTGCTCCGGTCAGGAGCCGTGCTAGGGACACTCCCTGTAGCCATCCTACCCCCGTTCTGGGCAGGATTCCCATTAAAAAAATGAATATGAAATATCACCTCAAATTGAAAAGTGCTTTCCAGGTTAGCCAGTGTCTTCACACCTGCTTTCTCACCTGGCCCTCGTGACAGTCCGGTCTTACTGTTTTACCGTCAAGGCAAGTAAAGCTCAGAGAACAGGAGGTGCCTATGCCAAGTTGTATAGTTGGGAAGTGGGCCGCCATGTGAACCCGAGTCCTGTGTTTTTTCTGCTACTTCAGTGTTAAAAATTCCACCCCACCCCATTGCACCTGCTTTGAGGAAACAAAGAGTAAGACCCTCTCAGGCCACAGCTGGGGGACCTGAGCATCCATGTGGACCTGGACTGCACCTGGTTCAAGGCCTTAATCACACCTTTATCACCTGGAGCCCTGTTTAGAGGGAGAAACCGATACATGGTGGGAGGGAGGCTCGGGAGAAAGCCAGCATTGTCCCTGGAATCCCAATGCCACGTTAGGAACCCCAGCTGCAGCCTTGGCCTTATTTGAGCCTGATGACAACACCATGAGGTAGGCAGTGTGGGGGATGACTGTCGGGCACAGGTGAGCAGATTGCCTGCCTCCTGCCTGGGCCTCTCAGGGAGCCGTCCTGAGCCAAAGACGAGCAGAGCCCTGGCCACCAGGCCGCCAGGCTGAGCTGTCCTCGCTTCCTCCCAGTGAAAACATTCCTCCTTGGGCCCCTTGCTGCTCAAGTTGTCCGAGTAGCAGAGACTTGCTGCCTCTGAGCAAACCACGATTTAATGCTGCAATTGGCCAAACGCTTACACTCTTTGGTAAGCGATTATTTATTTATTGGTTTGTGTTCTGCCCAGCCAAGGGGAAGAATGGTATTTGGTAACTGGTCACTCGGAAATGTAATTCTGGGGGCTAAGCAGCCTAAGGCTCCCCATGTCAGTGAGGCACGTGTTTGTGCTAAGGGTGGTGGGAGAATGTCAAACGTGGCTTGCCTTGCTCCCTGCCTCAGTTTCTCCTTGTGCTGTGTGGATAATCTTCCAGCCTCATCTACTTGGAAAATGGATCATAACGGCAGAATCCCTGTGGCACAGCTTAGGGCCAAGAAAGTCAGGGATGAGAACTCCCTATGAAGTGGAGGCAGGAACATGCAAGGCCATGAGGATTCCCAGCATGCCCTAGGCTGCCCTTGGCATGCCCGGCGGGTCACGCTGCTATTATGTCTGGCAGGGAGAAGGCACCGTTCTCCTTTATCTGGGTTTTTCCTCTTTCTTTTCTTTCTATCCCTTTTGCCCTCCACCACCGGTCTCCTCACCCATCTCATTTTAGGAAAGAACCATAAAGATCAGACTAGACCTTGAAAGCTCCCTCCTAACTTTGACTTCTATATTGTTTCTTTGGGCAGGGGGAGGAGTTAGGGGTTGTGTTTGGCCTGGGCTATCGGACCAGACTACGCAAGAAAGGCCAGAGGAGATCAAAGGCGTGGTGCAGACCTCTGCTCTGCCCGTGGCCTGCCCCAGCTCTGCCCAGCTCTGCCCAGCTCTGCCCAGCTCTGCCCCAGCTGCCCCCATGATAAGAAAGAGGAGAGAGGTCAGAGAGAGGTTTTAGATGCTCAGCACATTGTCTTTCCTGAGATGGACAGTCCTTGTTGCCGCCCCCCCATCCTGGGAGGGAGCCGAGGGGCCCCCTGAGTCCCTGGAAAGCTCCGAGTTGGCCACTTTCACACAGCTCCGCTGGCAAGAGCCTGCCTGCTGGTTCTCCAGATGCCTTTTCCTTTGGCTGGATTGAAGCCTTTAAAAAAGTGACACCTTGGATTTTATTTCACTCCTTTTTCTGCGAAGTCCAAAGACGTTTACAGGCGTGAGCTCTATAGGCTTTATGGAAACCCATCAAAAAGCAGGGCTTGTTTCCTTCATCTTTATAGAGTGGAAAATAAAAGCATGGGAAGACGGAATAACTCTTCTAAGGCCACACAGTTCTTCTGAGAAGGAGGGGAAAAGCCAGCGTAGGTTCCTAGAGCCTTCAGAGAAGTCTGTACCACACTAGAGCTGCTCAGTGGGAGTGCTGGGGGCTCCATGCCAGCCGTGGCAAGGTCTTCTTCACTCCTCAGTGGGACAGAACCCAGCTGTGACCCTGTGCTCACAGGGGAATCTGGGAGCCTGGAATAAAACAGGGAGAGATTCAGCCGAATCACTGTGGGGAAAATGGTCCAAAGGTTTTTGCTGTTGGTTCCCTGACTCCTGGAATTGTCCAGGAGTCAGGAAACAGGGTATCCAGGGGATATTCTCTTTAAGGAAGGCTCATAGGTGTTCCAGTCATTTTTAGGGAATACAATGTTGGGAAAGGCTGAAGGAATGTTAAACGTATTTTAAAAAGCAGGGAGCCTGAGATGGGGCATCATGAGGCACCTCTGTGGCTTGTTGAGTTCATTCGTGAACATTCCACTTCTCCTATCTTTCTCTCCCCAACTGATTGTCTGCACATGCCTCTGTCATGGTATTGTCACTCACGTGTTAATGTTTCCAGTTTTCTGTTCTATGCTCTTGAGTCCTCATCTGTGTGTCTGCTCGATTTAGTAAGTTCTAGGTATGGAGGCCATATTCCCTCTTATTCCTAAGTAGAGCTGTCTGGAGCCCACGCTCATGGGTGCTGGCCCAGTGCTTGCTGGTGTGATGGTGATGATGGACAATCTAAGCTACGAAGATGGCACCTGGAAGGGGTTGGAGGTGGGGCAGAGAGACCACGGAGGCCAGGAGAGGAAAGAGACTCTCAGGATCTGCGTTTTTTTGCCATGGTCCCGCCACCTGCTTAGGTTGACTGTTGACAGGTTACCTAGTTTCTCTGGATCTGAGTTTTTCATGTAAAAAAGGATTCTTCTAGCCCTGTAGCTCCCTGACTCGGTACTTCTGCTTATTGCCCTGATGTTCCTTCCTAATTTTTCTCCTTTTTAATTTTCAGCTCTTAACCATCGATGATAATTTCTGTGGCCTGGATATGAATGCCCCCCTGGGCGTGTCTGAGATGGTGCGCGGCATTCCCGTCTTCACAGAGGACAGGGATCGCATGACTTCTGTCATCGCATACGTCTACAAGAATCACTCTCTGGCCTTCGTGGGCACCAAAAGTGGCAAGCTGAAGAAGGTAGGAATGAGGTGCAATCATTTTGGTTATTCTGAAGGCCATCTGTCCCCACTGGGATGGATATGATTTCATGTTTTACTACTTTGGCCCTGGTGGGCAAGTGATACAAGTTTGAGCTAAGGAGATATGTCACTCTTGAGGTCATGAATGATACCCTGTCCCTTCTCTGCCTTTGTACGGAGGGTTACTGTGGGTGAGCGTGCAGATGCACCTCTTCCCTGGGGCTGGTGTGCACGTGGAGGAGTTGCCCCAGCCTCACGAGGCTACCCTAAATGATGTGCTCTGTCCAGCTTGGGTTTGTGCCCTAATGCAAAGGCTTTCTAAGGCTGGGGTGGTTGGGGAAGGTGGGCAGGGGCAAGTTATGTATGTGTTCCTCTTGCTTCAGTCCTTTTGACTAGTGCATCCATCTGGAATCTGTGCAGGGAAACAGATGGAGGAAAGTGCAGGACCTGCTGGAGTTGATAATGGGGCTGTGTCAGATCGTGGGATGAGGAAACTGTGGGTATTGTGGGGGCATAGAAATTACTTGAGGTGGAGTAGAATGGTGTGATCTGGGATGGGAGCTTTTCCTCCTTGTCCTCCAGAGCTTGCTGGCCTCGGGGTACTGGGTGATATTGGCCCATCAGCAGTGTTGGGGGTACCCTTCCATCCAAGACTCTTCTCTCACCCACCTCTGCTCAGACTTCTCATCTCAGTGACTTGGAGCTGGTGTCTGAGAGAGCCCCCGCCGCTTGATGGTATCCAAAGCCTTTCTAAGACTACGCCGTACCTCCTGTTTTGTGTTAGCTGATAATTGCACTTCAGTCTGGTCTCAGGGAAATACTGGTGAATCCACGTAGAACTCCTGCTTGTCTAATTTAGGCTTCCCTCAGAATTCTCTGGATATTGTGTGATTCCACATTGGGCACTGCCCGATCTGAGACAACTTTGAGCTCTACTTTCCCTTTGCTGTGTTTCCGGGTATCAGCTGCACGTGGTCAAGGGGACATATTCTCAGCAAATCTAGAAGACTTTGCCTACTCTCCCATCCTACTATGTAACAGCCCGGCCATCATTTCTTTCTTTAAATTCTACATCTCTTGGAACAGGCAGTGGGGCTGGAGTGTGAGCGTACGGGGTGGGGGGGGGAGGTATGTGTGAGGTGGGGGATGTATGGGGAGTAGTGACATGGGTAGTATCTAGAAGAGGAAGCCTGTGCTGGTGAAATGTCATGAGGCACCAGGAGGCTAGTGCGGGCTGTGTGCCACCATCTGGTACTGCCCGGAGAGCTAACTGTGACTCTGTAGAGTACGGCCTCATATGTCAAGGGCACGATGCATGAGACCACCATCTACATGGCTTTAAGAACTATATTTCATAGTTTCCTGCCTCTCTGAGAAGACTCTATTAAACCCAAGCAAACGTTTTGTTGCTGCCTTGGAGTCTTGCGGTGATTTTGGCTCACGAACCTCGTGGATGCCCCAGAAGGTGTCGTGTGTGACCCGTAGGTATGTCGTCCTGGCGCAACTCCTGTCTGGGTGGGGCCGCCTCCTGCCTCTCCATCTAGTGCACACTGTGGCTCGTCACCTCCAGCTGCTGTCAGGAGCCTGGGCTGACCCCGCTCTCTCCTCCTCCCTCTGTCCGTGGCTTCCAGCTTCCCGTGAGCTGGGAGTCAGGCATCCAAACTGGCTGAAATTGTGTCGGATAAGCCTCAGTATAAACAGAGGAGGGAAAAACCCAGGCTTTGGAGCATGGGCCTCAAGGGTGTTTCTGTTGGATGCTCAGATGATTTCATTCTTTATTATGATTCAGTAAGTTTGGTTTGCTAAAAAAGTGAGTTCTAAATACCGAAGGCATTCCCATATGTAGTTCGTACAATGAGATGTCTGTTGACCTGCTTTGCCTGGCCCTATGGAGCCACTATGGAGAGTAAAAAGTAAGCAAGACAATGTGGGGTACCTTCACTCTTTTCTCTAGTGAGCCCAAGCTCAGTGCATTGGAGAAGTAACTTACCCCAGTGCGCTAGAAGATTCGCACCCACTGAACTTCCTACCCTGTGCCTTAGGATCATTTACTTGCTAGCAAGACTGAGTAAGTGGATCCTGTAGGAGGCTTTTCTTTTCTTTTCTTTTTGGTCGTTGTCTGAGCTGGTGTCAGTGAAATAAACATTGAAAGTTCAGTGCACATAACAGAACAGACAGTTATTTTCTCTTGGGGGAGAAAAAGAGACGTGTTTCCTGGCCATGGCTGCATCGTAAACCCAAGACAGTCAACTTGCAAATGTGTGCTGTTGGTCAGAGGGTGGACTGAGGTCAGTGGGGGCTGACTGTCTTGCACCTGTGGAAGCCTGGCCCCTGATGGGGAGGTCAGAGTGCAGCACATCTCTGTGACAGTGGGCTGGGGACACATCCCGGAGTCTGGGCATGCACAGGGCACAGAGACAATGCTCACAGGGCAGGCTGCAGGCAAAGCCTTGCCTTCAAGTGTCCCCAGAGGTCAGCCGGGCCAGCAACGACAGGCATCACCTGACCAGGAGGCTTGAGTCTTTATAAACCTCGGGCTGGCATTTCCCATTTTTTTTTTCCATTGGGGAGTTTATATCAGAACAGTTCTGTTTCAGCCACCTGGGATATTCCATTTAATTTCCAGAGCAATGGTGAGATTGGTGAAGCATACACATTTGAGAGGTAAGAACAGAGGGTCATGTGAGGGGGAATGAGCCAGCGGCCCTCCTGGGGAAAGCCGGGCTGTCGGGGCAGCCAAACTTTCTGCGCTATGAGCTCGGAGTGGCAGCCTTTTTAATAGTTTTGCAGGAGCCCGGCAATGGCTGCTACAGACTCGGCACCGCTGGCCCAGGGGACGGTCTGAGTTGGGAAAGGAAGGCTGGGCCACCGAGCCAGTTGTTTGAAATAATAAAAAGCAAGACTGGCCAGTTTATTTATTTTTTTTCGGAACAATAGAATTTCCCACCGCCCCTGCTCGCTGAGCACCACTCCCCTTTCCTTGCCAGCACTCTGTATTGCTTTTCCCAGAGGCTATCAGACCACATTCACCTTTTGGGCAGAGGCCCAGCCGTGAAATGCTTTGGGGCTGCAAGAGGATGTTGCGGGAAATTTTGTGAGCTGCTGAAACCAGGGGGTGAGAATAACGCAAATCATACTGTAGCCGTAATTACAGAGTTGTCTTCTCTGAGCCCTGTAATAATCTCCTGTGTGTATCAAGGGCCACGCAGAGTTCTTTGCCATATGACAAGGGACTCGTGGGGAGGGTGGATGGGAGGGCTTGGGGGTTTGCTGTGTGTTTCCGGGGTCTGGGAGCTAGACTGTAGCGATCCATAGGCTGCCCTCGAAATTACTGACTTTTCCTTTTGTTTGAAAGTTGTGGGTCCTCATCATTTGCAACCTTGCCTCTGATGACCATAATTTCACTCCTTTAGTGCCTACATCACATGAGGCAGAGGGAAAGGAGGTGAGGAAAGTGCCAATTTGGATGTCTTTTGTGTTTTCTGATGCGTGCGTGCCCGTGTGTGTGTGTGTGTGTGTGTGTGTGTGTGTGTTATGGCTAGTATCGGCAGCTTTTCCATGGCCAGCGTTATAGGCGAGTGCTGTTAAGAAACAGCATTATTTTATATGTGGCATATAAATGCTACAGTCATCAGGAAGTACTTAGGAACTTAGAAATAACCCACACTGTTAAAATTTCCACTCCAGGTTAGAATAAAAAAAAAAATCTTAAGGCAAACACCATCCCGATCTGCTCTAGGGTGTCCGTATAAACCTGAAAATCTTTGTCCCAAGTTGGGGTAATGATGCCAGTTGCTGCCTCAGATGGACAAAAATCTCTTTGTGTAACTATTTTGGCCGGAACCCTCTCTCCTTGCCTCTCACATTCCTACCACTAAGTGATCCTATTGTGTGGCTGTTGTTTAGCCGTGAGTTACCACCTGACATTGGTGGGAGAGACTAATGTTCATTGTGAGCCAAAACATCATAAACTCCCACTTGAGGTGTGATTGCTCCTTTCATTTTGTGATCGCATCATTCCCGAGTGTTTAGCTCGGTTAAACTGTTCACACCTAAGGGGCGGAGCACTTTGTGGATACTAGTTAAGCAGAATTCGGGCTGATCTGACTCATGGCTTGTGTTAGGGTATGTACCCACGTGTGTGACACACCAAGCCTTACCAGTATGTTTCAGCATGGAGAGTCAACAGGAGTGGATGCCCTAAAAATCATACTTACTGGCAATTATTATGCACATTAACATAATCTGCCTAATTTTTTTTCCTTGAGCCTATTTTGAAATCGATTAGCTTGTGTTCCCCTACATCCTGACCACGGGTCCAGAAGGGCAACCAAACAGAAGTGGAGTAGGGTAGAGGGAGACCCACCTGGGTCTGTATCATTCTGACCATAAGTTCTCAGGAATGGATGTTGTGTCTGCGTGTGTGTGTGTGTGTGTGTGTGTGTGTGTGTGTGTGTGTGTAAAATGCTCAAGTCACAGAGCAATGTCACATTAGAGATGAGTAGCTCCTGCTTTGCAATTTCCTAACTGTATCTGAGAATTCTTAATGCTCACTGGAAATTTGAATCAACTTTAAAAAATGCCATAGATAGGACTCCAAATGGGTGAAGGCATCACAAAATCAAATGGAGATGTAATGTTGGAAATTAACTTGCCCCAGGACCCTGAGATTAGAGCAGAGCTGCATTACCTGATGTAGGATTTGTTCAGTGTGCTCTGTTATGGGTCTCTTCAAACAGAGCTGCTGGCTGGTTTGCATGTGGTTAGACACTGAAGCAGGAAGGAAAAGAAATATGGAAGAATCAATGCTGGACAGTTTCCATTGTGGAAAAAGACCATCAAAGCAGTTTTGTTTGATTGTTTTGCCACGTTGTTTCTGCAGTTCCCACTGCTGGTTTTGCAAGTTTGAAGCCTGTGTGGATGTGAGGCTGTGGGATAAGTGGAGAGGAGCTGAGGTTGAAGGTGTTACAGACAGAAGAGCATCACAGATCCAGGGTG